ATTGTATTCTTGATAGAGATGTTAATTATATATGAAAAGTAAAAATTATACGGAATAATTGGATGAGTAGCAGGAGTGTTCCGGCCATTAAGTCGTAGATATTCATATTCTGCAACACAACTGGACTTCGTCAATACGACGGCTGTAGTGTTGTTTAAATGAAATGAAATAAATCTGGTATGAGAAACATAGTTGCAAATCTAGGCCTAACTTAAGTCTGGATCTCCAGGTATGTGGCTTACTAATTCTCCAAGTCCTTTGGCCAGTACCTCACCTGACAGCCGGTCTGTTAGCCATTCGACTCATCTTCTGAAGGGATGTTACCATCTCAGCAGTTCTGGAGGAAGCATCTGGGAGGCCTTTGGCCATTTCGAGATTTCTTTGGGATATGTTAAACGTTGTCGTTCCTAGACCACGATGGGGTTACCCTAGGCAACAGACAAAGATTTTAACAACGCGAAGGGAATAATCAAACTAAAGGGGGGGGGGTGCAGATCAACAATGAAAAGCGGTGAAGCCGGCTAGATTTGCATGTCGCCAGACAGAGCGGGAAAAGAGGGATTAGACCAGAAATGCAGAGAATTGCGATATCTGTGGAAATTGGGCACTGAATTTAAACATCAGTACTTTCGGCGGTGTTTTTATCCACGTCAACAGATTTGTTAGCGGGGAAAGCCCTTCCTAGCTCTTCTTCCTCTCCCTCCCTCCCAATCCCCTTCTTCTGCTCCTCCCCTTCTTCTTCTTTTCCCTTATTCCTCTCCCGTTAAATTTTCCGTCCTGGATGACTGGGACGTATTGCGTTGAACAGATGCAGAAAGCAACTATGCTGAGGACATAGACGAATTCAGTGCGGTTTCCTTGTGGGGAGGGGGGCGATTTTGCACTTCATCTTCTTCCTTCGTCACTACAACCCCCTCCTCCTCTGGGCAGCTTCAAACCCACCCTTCATTCGCCGCACTACCCTTCTCCCCCTCCCCTTCGAACATTTCACCGCACCTCTACCCCGATCGTCCCACTACACTCCCTCCCCCTCCCTCGCTCCAAGGTCCCTGAGGGACGACAAAGGGTTCCAAGTAGACTTTTCTACAGTAAAATACTTGTTACCGAAGCCCTGCAGGAGGTGGGTGGGGGGGGGGAGGGGAGGGAGCGAAAGATCCTCCAATGACTGGAGATGCTACATTTTTGAGAGGCGTTGGGCTTTGTGTAATAAACGAACTTAGGACGGTGCAAATGGCGTGAGGAGGAGAGAGGGGGACGCCATGTTAATGACTGGCGAGTTGCCCGAAACGAGGGAGAGGGGCAAGGAGGGGTGGGGGGTGCGTTGGTGTGAATTGTTTTGCCTGAAAGTTGCTCCGAATTTCGGGCATGGCGCTGGCTGCGTTGCACCTGTGCTACTCCGTTTGATGATGATGGTGGTGATGACGATGATGACAATGTTAATCGCATTTGGTTGAATTTGCTCCTCGCCGAGCAGCGTTCCATCATATTGCGCCCTCGCATTCATCATTTTTCGTCTCCTTCTTCTTCCGGGTGGATGATGATGATGCTGCGCGTTTTACCGCACTGCAAGGCTGCAGAAAGTGGGATGTAGTTGCTGTTGTTGTTGCCGTTTTAATGGTCGTAGCCTGCTTCCTCCTCATTTCTACATCCGCTCGGAAGACCGCGTCCCCTGCTTAACACTACGACAACTGTGCACTCGAGACTTTTCCCACTTTCTTTTTTTAGTTCGATTGTTAGTTTCAAGTCGCAGAAAGAGCTCGGTTGTCCAGCGAATTCTGGTAGGAGTAGATTCCGAAGTAATTTGTTGTTACTCTTTTCAAAGCAAAAGAATTTAGGATGGCTTCTGAAAACGTAAGCGGATCCAGATTGGTCTGTTGGGGAGGGGACGACTTTTTTTACAACCTTCCCCCCGCTCCTTCACTCTCCCTCCTCGGCCAGCTCGCTACCCACTGCTCCATCATCCCGCTACTTCTCCCCACCAGTCGACACTAAACTACAACAACGGCAGGGGGAGGGGTAAGGGCAAAAGACGGTACTGAACAGAGTTTTCTACAGTAAAACAGTTGCTAACTGAGCTCCTGGGGGAAGACTGCTCCCTTCCTCTATTCTCCTGCCGCTCTATGGATTCGCCAATGCCTGAAATCCTATCCGCATTTCCATCTTAGTTTATGTTTTGAAGAGGAATTTTTTAATGTTATTTTGAACTGTAGGGGGATTATCAAAATCCTTAGCAGGACGAGTATTTTAACAATAAAATCTTCAACTTATGGATCATTCTAAATGAGTTTCAAGATTGAAGCTACTGCATCCAGCAGTCGGCCTACGACGTGAATAGTAATTGGCAAGGAAGGGAGCAGGGGCCATTGATGCGGGGGGGGGG